ATATATAATAATTACTACATGTAGTAATAATTACTACATGTAATAATAATTATTACACGTAGTAATAATTACTACATGTAGTAATGATTACTACATGTAGTAAATATTACTACTTTTGTAGTAAATATTTACTACATTACTACATAGCCTGATATAGGAATGTGTACCAAATTAATACGCCACAATGAGCAAATTGTATTAGCATAATAGACAAAATAGCGAACAAAATTTAAATTTTTTAGGAAAATAATAAAGAATATACTTCAAAATATTACATAAAAACATTTGATCACGTAAATATTATTATAAATTGTTTGTTCTTTTGCGCCTTCTTTGTTAATTTTCTTTGTTGTGTCGGAGAATCTATTTTCTAGCTACTATGGCGCACCAACCTGGTACAAATATTCCGGATGCGTAAATCTATTGGTGTCCGATAAACGGAGTTTATCCGCAACTCCGATAAAAATTAAGCTACGTATGTACATACGTACCATAAATGGAGGGGAATTTTAGCGGAATGTTAGTAATTTATATTTAACAAGAAATCCGCCCATTATTATACCTTCCTCCTAGCAATATACCCCCTAGAGTGGAATGTAACATACCCGGGTCGCTATATAATTACAGTAGTTTACGGCAAAAACTAAATCTTCGATTTTTTTTTATATATTTAGCATAGGAAGTTCATTATATAATCATTGTTTAAACTAAGACAGAACGTTGTCCCAGGATCAAGATTTATTTTAAATGACCCAAAATGTGTTCAAATGAACCTGATGTGGAACCTGAAGGTGCTCAAGGTGCCCAGGATTAAAGACTCTGGGTGTTTTTTTTTTACTATTCTGGACATACGTAGGTTATATCAATATATGCATCAGGCTATTTGAACTTGGTATACGTACAGTATTTTATTGATGCAGAAAAAATTAAAATTCGCGAGTAACGCGCGAATTAAATTTCATGATTCGAACCATGATAATTTCGAATTATTCGAGCCAAGTTGACGAGTCCACTATCTATAGTTATATAATAATTTTTTTTAATAAATACGTATCATATATTAATTAATTAATAATATACAGCAATTTTGTTTTTATTTTAATCTAAAATAATATTTTATTTGCAATTATAATTAATAAAATATAAAATTTTATTCTTTATTAATAATATAGTGTATGAAATATTCTTGATGCATTACGTAGTAAATAAGAATTTCAAAATTGACAAGCCCAATCCAAAATAAGCGGATATATATGCTTATTTTTAGAAATTTGAACCTAAAGGAAATGCATTCCATGTGAAAATTCTTTGTGAAACAGAAAAGTTCCGAAAATTCTTGGTGTTACGCGAGTTTTAGAATAACCTATTATCGTTATAACGATGGTTGTGCGCGAATTACGAAATTCGATTGGTTGTTTATAATGTAAAGATTTTGATTGGTCCATCAATCTCTTCGGTGGAATGTAAAAAACTGTCTTTTAACTTGTAATTCATATATAAAAATCAGAAATCCACTCAATTACTATACTCCTGTAATGTATCTTCCAAGTGCTTTTAATCGGTTGAATATAGCATACCTGATACCTACGCACAGACGGCCGAGACTATACACGTAGTTCTGGTAAATGACGTACGTACAGTAACACGTAATAATTATCTGTTTGTGTAATGTCTAGACATCATTCGACCACCTAATTTTATCGGAGCTAGCAACTAGTCATTATATATATATAAAGATCCATAGTACGATATAGGGCTAAAGGACTTTGTTTCTGCCATTTTCTGGAGATTCAACAGGTTTTGTCTTCATGTAGTTTAATTCGGGTGTATACTTAGGCATAACACAAAACCATGATACGTATTATTTAGTACAAAGTTTAATTGTGTACGTATCGGTGTATATCCGGTATCTCGTGATAATGTTATATAAATTACTCCAAACTCGTCAACAAAAAACAGAACTCTTTCTTTTGACCTACGATTTTTTCACGGTTACCGTTGTTTTATAATAAATGTCGGCTCAACTTTATCAGACCCTTGGCGAAGATCTGTTGGCTTCCTTCAATGAAAAGAGATACACGGACATTACGATAACGACTGAACAAGGAACACCTAACGCGAGAACTTTTCGGTCGCACAGATTTATACTTTACTCTCGTTCTCAATATTTTCGAGAAATTTTGTCTGATGGTAATGATATCGAGAATATCGAACTTCCTGACATTTCAGGTGAGATCTTTGAAGATTTGCTCGGGTAAATAAGTTTCCTTGTTCAATTAAAACTTTAATCGTACAGTTTTATAACTTTGATATTTCTTTTTTGCTAAGCCATTTATATTTTGCAATAAAGTTATTTCTACAGTGGAAAGGTCAACTTGGGCCATAGATCAGGTTCGGAAGTTCTTGACCTGTTACTTGGAGCTGAAAAACTTGCCCTTGATCTCGTCAACAGCATACAATCTTTCATTATTGAGCAACATGGTAACTGGTTAAATGAGCACTTCGCTCATATTCATCATGTGAGTAATAAATATGAAACCTTTGAACAACTACGTGCTTTCTGCGCTCATACCGTCAACAACACCCCTGAGGTAGTTTTCCTGGCTTCCGATTTCACAAATCTTCCCGAGAAATTGTTACGCGATATTCTTTTTCGGGACGACATAAAAATAGATGAAGTTGAACTTTGGAATTATTTGTTAAAATGGGGTCTTGATAAAAGCCCTTCATTGAAATCTGATCCATCATTATGGAGTGCGGACGATGTCGAATCATTAGCAAAAACACTTAAAGATTGTCTACCTTTAATTCGATTCTTTCAATTTTCTGCAAAAAATTATCGTACTCATCTGCTACCATACAAAAAACTTTTGAAAGTTTCTCAAGCAAAGGTTTATGTTGATTTGAAAAATTATTTTTACATGGATAGTGTTAGACCCACTTGCAAAATTTTGGGACCACGACGAGGACCAAATATCGAATCAATAATTCTTACTGCTAAACATGCTGCATACATTGCTAGCTGGATAAACAAAAAAGATAAAGACTCTTTACATTTTAGGCCTTATGATATTAACGAAAATCCTTATGAATTTCATTTACTTTTTCGTGGAAATCGAGATGGCTTTTTAGCAATAAATTTTCATAACCAATGTGATGGGATAAAAAATACCATTTCAGTTATGAAAATTAAAGGTTCTGATGAAATTCTTGGGGGTATATTTTTATTTATTATTTTTTTTTTAATGCAGAATTCTTTTGTTTCAATCATTAATAAGTTATTAATTTAATCGCGAGCTTAGGTTACAATCCAATCGAGTGGAAACGCGTCGATTGCGTATGGGGAAAGACGTCTGATAGTTTCATTTTTTCTTTTCCAAGTAATGATTTTCAAGAGGCGATTCTCAGTCGCGTTAATGTTGTTTCAAAGGCTGTGAGTTGGGTAATTATCGGATACATTTATTGTTATCATTTTGTAAATTCGTAATAGGCACTTGATTGCCAAATGCTATTATTTCTTTTATTTAGGAATTGGAATATGGTCCATCCTTTGGAAATGATTTAATAATGATTGGGCCCAACCTCCAAAAGCGTTGTCTCTGTAACGTTTCGAATCTGCCGCAAGTGTATGAAAAAAAACTGCGAAACTCTTCTAGCGAATTTGAAATAGTCGATTATGAAGTATACCAAATTCGAACAAAGGTGTAAATAAATACAGCATATATTGATCAACGTTTTGACTGTACGTCATGCTATTCAATATCTATTGTAAACAGTAAATATTTATCATACAAACTTTATATATTTAGATTACATAATTAATTCCTATTAAGTGATATATATAATTTTCCTGTCAATTTTTTTTGAATATAATTAATAAGTTTTAAATAAATGGATTAATTGTATATTATATCATAATTACCATACAAATTTGTCAAAATTTATATAGCTATTTTACTAAAATCTACATATAGAATTTAATATAATACTGAAAGTGGTAGGTGGATTTGAGTTATATCAACCCCGGTAGAAGTGGATGGTTCAAACCATAATTAGTATTCACTAGTTCACCTCAATTGCGTTTTAAATCGATGTAAATGTTTATATTGCCGTAACTAAGTTACAATTATAAGTCTACCTCTAGCTGAAAGTTGATATCAATCTTCCCTATAGAAATGCAAGGCTTTAGTGCAAAAAAAAAAAAAAATTCGATCTTTGTTTTTCCGAGAAAGAAATTGAAAAAAATAAAATGAGAATTATTAAAAATTCACAAAATAATAGAATGAATGAAAAGATATTTTGATTATCAAAAATTTTGTATATATTGAAATATTATTAAATTTTATTTATTTTTTTTTAATATTTAAGTAGAATTATTATAAAATGCACCTATGGTGTTTTACACCTATGTATAATTTCTTTTAATAAAATTTAGGGTTAGGGTTAGAAATTAGAGAATTATTGTTTTTTTTATATAATATATATAGAGCTACTATAAGGGCCCGATAGGGCCCGATCTCAGTTTTCGTGAGGTTTTTGGGGGTCCTGAACATTTTTACTTAGAGGACCCGATCCTGTTTACTTAGTACGTTTTTGAGAAACGGGACCATAGGTGTAAAACACCATAGGTGCGTTTTAGTAAAAGTCTTTAAGTATTATTAAAATTTACTAAGATCTATATTATATAATATCGAATTTAAAATTGAGTTTAATATTGTTTATTGTTATCGTTTTATTAGTAGTATCTAACACCATATCTCAAAACTATATAAGTAATTAACACTTGATATTTTAAACAAAAATATTTAGTATATCAACCCATTTTTATTTTTATTTTTAAATATTAGCAAAAAAATTATTATAAAAAAATATGTGGTGTGAAGCATAGAATTGTAAAAAATTAGTAATTTACAAATTTTAATAATAAATTATTAGTAAAAAAAAGCTAACACTTATCAACTAATTATATGGAGTCTTTGCCTTGAAAATTACCTTCCGACATTTCCGATCAGGCTAATTTGGACAAAAACAAAGCTGTGTATTAGTCCATGTTTATATGTAAACCCCCTTTTGTCTTTATGGTTCAATAGTTTATAGAATAAAGTTTCGAATAAATAAAGGCAAAAGGAGATTCAAATATA